CCATTCAACAGTGCTGTTCCTAAAGTAGCACTGCGAAACAGTAACAAAACCTATGGAAGTACCTATACTTCTCCGTAACCTACAGAAATTTGGTTTGTCTTTCAAATCCAATAAAAAATACATCTTGTACTGTTCTCGAGTTGTTTTTTGTATTCTTTTGGAATAGTTCTCAGTTTTTTTTAATATATCCATACTCATTTTAATAAGCCCTACATACAATACGACCAGCAAAAATGGCCCGCGAGAAACAGAATTCCTACGAATCGAGAATCGACCCCCTGATCGTGTTGTAGGTTAAGAACAATAATTAATATATTCTGAAAAACAAATGAATATATCTACTGGTTGAATTTTTATTTTACGTTCCTAAAAAAATGTCAACTATACCGGGTGTTCAAATTAAAGGGTTACAGTTAAATACCGCCTTTTATAAAAAAAAAACAAAGTTTTATAGTTTTATTTTGGGTGTTACTCAATAAGTAGAAATCCAATAAAAAAATGTTTTATTTAGAAGTTTCTTATTTTTTTTATGAACTCTAAGAATACCTATGTAAAAAAATAGAGGGTTCCAATATGAAAAAAAATCCACCTCGATATGGCCATATTATGGTCAGCTATAAAAAAAATAATTTGGCCAAAATGTTTCCCCTAAAAAACTATAAAACTTTTGTCTGATACTTTTTTTTTATAAAATTCATATTTTTGTCGATATTTAACTGTAAAACTTTAATTTAAACACCCGCTATAATCATCAACATACGTTCTTTTATCACAAAACACTAAATTATAATACCAACTTACTAGAAATCATCGTTCAGATTTGGTAACTAGAAACAACGTAACGACTTTGTTATTGAATAGAGTTTCAAAAATTATCGTTATAAAAGTCGTTGGTTGAACTGTCGTTAGCTTAACGATGTCGTCCATAAACGATAAATTACTGAATAGGGCCCTTAATCTTAACGGTGTTAAAATTAACACACACACGCCCTTGAAGATTTCATCTCAAATACTAAACATTTCTAGGAAGTTTTGTCGATCACTACATATTTTACTTTTATTAACATTATTGTCTAAGTTCTTTTTTCCTTATTCATATTTATAAGAAAAGTGTCTAGTAAGATCTATTTTTTTAGTTGACCTTGTACGGAACTATTTAGGTTCCGCGGGAAAACTAAATTTAAAAAGTTAGACAATGAGAAGAATACTATTTAAATAAGGATAGAACATACCGCAAATTAGAACCATATCATGCTGCGTTTGAGAATCCACATCGGATGCATCTGAGATGTAAAAAATCTTTGATCACGTGATGCAGTATACGTAAATGTAATGGGACAGATGTGTCCGATGTGGATAAAAAAACGCTCGAGATGTAAAAAATGCATCCGATGTGGATTCTCAAACGCAGCATTAGAACCGACTCGCGAGGCTGGTTCAAAAATGTTAACCAAATGGTTATAAGTGACGTCATTGTTTATGAAAGGAATATGGTTGGTTCTAATTTGGTTAGCTAGAACCGGAACCAAACCCCAAAGGAAAATGCATCATGTTCGAGTATACTAAACAGTGACGTCATTACAACCTCCCCTCCGGTCCTTGATGTCGGCCAAAACGGAAGATCATGCCTAAATAACATAATCTACCATAAACGTTTATGTTGGTTTATGCCGCGAAAAATACCTTATAGATTACGCACACTGACGTACTGAAAAAGTTGAAAAGTACTGAATTCACTACAAACGTACTGAATCTGGCAGCCCTGAAGCTACCTGCAGGTCTGGTTTAAGCCACTAAAAACTAAAATAATTAATAACGATTATTTTTTGACGTCAATAAATTACTGTTTACACAATAATTGTTGATTAAAATAATAAAAAAGATTAATTTTCATTACCCTAAGTTAAGGAACCTTAAAATGTAAATATGAATTAGCTATATTATCTTACCATCGCTGTGTACAAGCTGTATACCTATATACAGATTGAAACACACATGTCAATGCTACTGTGAGAAACTTCAAAGAATGTGACAAAGATATTATAATCAAAATTATATAAATTATATTCCGTTTTTTTTTTGTAAATATATTTTTTCTTTAAATATTTGAAATGGAAAAGAAAAAAGTTAGAAAATTTAAACCTTTTAAACAATTTAGAATTTTGCCTGGCGATGTAAACACCAGCACAAATTTAATGGATTTATATGCATTTAATTGTCACCGTTTAAGGGTAAGAAGTTTTATAGTACAATTCAAACAACTTATTATTCAACTTTTTGGTCATATCTACTGACGCTATTGTCTTCCATCTTTTAGTTATACATTTTCTATGGATTTCTCAAACTCGTCTCATGTATGTCTCAGTGTTTCTCATTTATTACAGCGTCATAAATAGAACCACCGAAGGTATTGATCATTAGGTTTGTTCGGGTTTCCTTAAAACTCGATGCAAACCGTCCGATAACTAGTGGAACAGTTCAATTCTAAAGTATACGTCGCACACAACTATTAAACTGTCCACTGGTCAACTAGTCCTCTGATAGTTTTCAATGTATTTTAAAGAACCCGAACAGACCTAGTATTTCCTCGTAGGTATTCAATATGAAACCAGTGGTAGACTGTAGACCTAGTAAAATGAATCCATACCAGTTGGTACCCTTTTCAAAAATGAGAGATACCTTTTTTGTTGCTTGTCAGATCGATAAAGAGAATAAAGTTATTATGAATAAACTCAATTATATACACAGAAATGGCGTAAGTATATTCTTCTACACATATGTATTAAAAAAAACACGTATATATTTTATTTATCATTATCTACTAATCGTTTTTGTTTAATTTTTCAGGGAGTCGTTGACACATTTAATCCTAACGCATTTAAAATAAACTCTATACACTGGAAGTTACATATGCATTATATGAAAAGCATTGTTAAAACAAATAAACAAATTTATGAATTGATAATGAATGCGGTAAGCTCAAAATTTAAAATATTTAGGTAACATGAAAGAAGTCGTTCACGATCAATATGTCATTTGAAGTTTTATTTATATTATACACACTTGCGATATGACAAAAAATTGAAGCATGTTTGAAAAATTTTGAATTCTCTCCAAATCATAGTCATGAATTTCCTTGTCTAAGACAATAATGCATTGTTTACAGTAAATACCTTTTTCTAATTTCTAGCCAGCTAGAATAAAAACTAAAGAATTTGAAGATGCCTACAAGTTACATGAAAAGAAGCTAAAAGTAATTTGTAAATTTGCCATTTGCGTTGGTATGAAACCTGATTATGATTTAATTCTAAGTAGACAGCCTTCGATCAGCTTTGGATTAGACAAAGAGAAAGGAATTGTAAGGCCCCAGTAAGTATAAAAAGATTTATTTCCTAAATTACGAGTGTGAAAATTTAAATCTCCTTCGCACAAGTAATCGAAAAATGCATTTTAGATGTTTTTTGGAATTCAAAGTTCGGGATGGACCATATTTAGGAAAAATATTTATAGAATTATACCAAGATTTCGTACCCGTTACTTGTCAGAATTTCTTCGAACTTTGTAAGGGAGAGGGAGAACTGACATACAAAGGTTGCGTTTTACATAGAATTGTGAAGGGAAAATTTATTGAGTCAGGAGATGTTACACACAACAACGGCCGTGGTGGAGTATCTATATATGGAAAAACGTTTCCTGAAGAAAAGCATATCCTTAAACACACAAAAGCCGGCATGTATTTAAATAACTTTTTTTACACCCAACACATTACATTAAAAGTATCACTTTATTCACGTGTTCCAAAAATAACTAGTTTAACTTTAATAGTTATATTAGTCGCACAGTCCTCAAATCGAGGGTTTAATACCAACAGAACTGCGATCATAATAAGGAATCAAACCTGGTATACAGACGGGTCTAAGACTACGGAAGATATTGGGGCTGTGTTCTTAACAAACCCTAACACTATCCTTAGCCATGATACTATAAAAAGGTGTGATATTACACCGACTCATACTACGTCACGCTGACGTATTGTGGTGTGGAGGCGTGACTTTTACGAATTTGAGGTATCAGCTGATCGAAAACAGTGCGACAAAATAAATTTTAATCTTCTTATGGCTAAGTATCATACCTCTGTAATTTTTTGCATCATGAACCTTAGCTATGCAGTAGGAAAGCATTCTTCAGTATTTCAGGCTGGAGAGCTATCGAAAACAAGCAGATTCAAATAACGTCAGATAGCCAGGCGGCCCTTAAAGGCCATTTAGAGTCAGAAAGTGACGTCCCGGGTAGTATGGAAATGCATGGAAGAACTAAATACTGGCTGCAGCGTTATCGGAGACAAGTCAGACAATTCCAGCAAAAAAATGGAGCTGTAGCGTTAAATCTTCTACACCCAGAAGCAAAGAAGACAAAAAATGTAAATGTTAAATTTGTTTTGTTTTTAATTATAGGTGTTGTTTCTATGAAAAGGATAATATACACAGAAAATAACTCACAGTTTATCATCACGCTAACGGAAATGGAAAAATGGGATAGAATGCATGTCGTTTTCGGTAAAGTTGTTAAAGGGAATAATGTGTTATTCAGAATAGAGGATTATGGTCGAAAAATAGGAAAACCATATGCCGATGTTATTATATGTAATTGTGGTGTAAGAGAAATTGAAGGGACTGAAGGCACCGAAGGTACTGAAGTGGGAGAAGAGGAAGAGGCTTAGATACCTTTTTAGTAAGTCGACTTTTTGCTGGACGATGTATTCAGTAAAAAAAGAATAATTCAACACCTCGATATATCTTCATGCAGTACCTCTCGTTGTTATCTAATTTATTTTCCTGTACTAGTTATTGAAAGGTTCATAGAGGAACATCATAATGGATACCTTTTTAATTTTACAATGTCTGGCTGAAAGTCGTGTCAAAATATGGTAGAGTGTAAAGTATTTAACTTTTTAAAATAGGATAAATTAAAGTGTTATTTTTTTTTGTCTGTGTTTTAATAAATTCGAAGAATGTCTTGTCTTGACTCAACTTGGTTTATTGTATCTTCCAACATTTATAAGTACGTTAATTTTTTAATTCTCCCGAAGAACGGTATAAAAACACAATGCTATTGTGTAGACAGAAATAGAATAATACTTCGCTGACTGCCAACCACAATATTTCATCTTCGCCGTCAAAAGGTTAAACCAAGATAGGTACTCTCTTTATGTGTCTCACGTCCAAATATAATTAAGCGTCTCATATATATTTTGTTGATGTGCCGGCTCAAATATTGTATATTGATATGTCGGATGAAAAGTCGATCTTTCTATACAGAGAGACACATTTAAAATGAATAACCCCAGACAGCACACCAAATCCTTTGGATTTCTACTGAACATCCCAATATCCACTGAATGTCCAGTCCATGGTGGATATCTATTTTATATCCATGAAATGTAATTTATAGACATGCAAATGTCCATAAATAATAGTAATTATATAGCAAATTATTAAAAAATTACGCCATTGTGCTCGCCATTGTGGCTAATACTACCGTTCAGGTACTTAAAATTAATTTTTTAAGTGTATTCAATATCCCATAGACATCCACTATAAATATAAATATATCAGTCTAAGTGCGGACGCAAACCATCGTGGATATCTACTAGATGTAATTTTTGATTTTGCTTCCTAAATATAGATGGCGATACCACTTTCGTATCTACTCATGCTCAACCCGCCGTAAATGAGTTCGATCGAATTTTTTTTTTTACAATCAGACTCTGTTAGAGACTGGAGTCGAGAATTTCCATTTATTGCTGAAGAGTCCTAATAAGGATGACTTTCTCCTTAGTGCCCTTTTAGTGGGCAAAATCAAAGGCAGATTGTTGGAAATATTTTTTATCTCTATTTTCTTTCGACGTTATTCAATAATCATTGGTTACTTACGAACCTCTACTAAAGATACCTATAAAATATTTTGCTGAATATCTGAATTCTATATCCATATTGGATATCCACAAAATATATTCTGTGGATATCTCTGGGATTTCTTGTATTGTCTGGAAGATACTCATTTGATATTTTGCTGAATATCCATAGGATATCTTCCTATATTCTGGATATAGACGGACATTTGGATATCCATATTAGATCCACGGAATATTTCTGATATCCTGTGGATATATTGGATATCCACAAAAGATATTCTGTGGATATCTCTGGGATTTAGTGTATTGTCTGGGAACGATCTTTTATATTTTGGAAATTATGTCCTTATAACCTATAATATAGGGACGCAATAAGGATTTTATATTTTCTGAATAGAACGATGAGCTATCGGCTTTCTATCAATAAACTTAGCTAAAATTCTGCTTTGTATGATTAATGTTGTTAGTTTTCAGAATTTGTCTTAAATCGGCGTAAAAAATATACGCAGTGTGCGTTTTCAAAATAATGGGCGGTAAGTATACGCTCCGTGCGTGACAGCAGCTCCAATAATTTATGAACTAACGGACGATTTTTTCGTATGTTGACAAAACAATTTTTAATAGAATTCGTAATTAAAAAAAATATATATGTTGGTTTTAATAAAAGTATATGAATTCGTAAAACATGTGAAAACATTATTTTATGTCCAAATGGCTACCAGTGGGGACTGACAGTTTAGATATGGTTTTTGCTTCCCCCTACCATGACTTCGCACTGAGCGAATTTATAAACCATAGTACTTGCTAATACTTCCAAGCAGACCATCTTCGCACGTGGAGTACTTCCCTTAGAAGTACCTATACTCCTTATAATTTCATAGTATATTCTATAAATGTGACTTTAAATTGAATCAGTAGTAGGATAGTCCTGCCTATAGCTATATGATCCGTAGTATATACCAGGGTGGCACATCGAAAACGACATTTACTGGCAATCTAGGGGGCCATTCAATGGCACCTCTTCTTCCAATCCATCGACCTGGAAACGTAATATGATCTAAATATTGTCGAACACGTAATATGATCTAAATATTGTCGAACACGTAATGCGTAATGTGGTGGGGCACCATTCTGTTGGAACATCTACACCTATTCGCAATGTACCGCCGTTCATTCTGATTTTAAATTATGGTTGTTAGTGCAGTAATTCCAAATACATTTCACCGGTCAAATTTCCAGGTAAGAAAAAAGGACCAACTAAATGATCGCCAAAAATACCAGCCCAAACATTAAATTTTTGTGGCTGTTGTGTGTGTACCTCATGATAAATTCTGGGATTAGAATCGGACCAATATCGGCAGTTATGACGATTTACTACGCCATTTAACGGACAGACAATTGAGAGAAGTCATAATAAAAACAAATGTTCTTCTTACCGATATCTTTTATCTGGCATATATCTTACTCCTATTGGGAGGTAGGGCAAAATTGCCCATTCTCCTTTCCTTACAGATCCTTAAATTAGGAATGGGGTCCTCCTTTTCAACAAACCGTCTCTTCTTGCTTGTACTTGGACCTGATTGGGTGTTGTCGTTTAAGTTTAGTTCTTGTGGGTCTTGTTGTGATTGCCATTCTTTATGAATTAGCGTGTCTATATTATTTCTAATATTTTAAATAGCTGCTGCAAAATTTGATATGTTTATCTTAACCTTGAGAGCTTCGAGCTGTCTACTCTGCAGTTGATCAAAAAGTATATCGCAATTTGGCATTATTTTGCCGAAGAAAAATAACCAGAAACTAAAATCTGTCTTTCAAAATTTATCAACTCTTTAGTCTGATTAATAGTTTTTTTATCGAATTTTATGTTCATAATTTCTTCGAGACATTTAATCAAATCCTCTTTGTAAACATAAATAGTATTGACACACTTCGATGTAAAATTCCATCGTGTAAAAAATTTCTCTTTTATATTTTCAAATTAGAAAAAAATATTTATATCTCTATTTGATAGTTTGTCAACTAAGCCTATTTCCAACGCATACCTTTTTGAGATAGAATTTGGTTATCCTTGCCAACAATTTGCGAAAATGTACAACATTAAATTATTTATAAGACTTAGAATTTTTTATACTCTTAAATATGCAACAGAGATTTAAAATCCTCGAAAAACTCAGACAAAACCAGAAGAAAAATTAAAATTTTGTGCCATTTATAAATATTATTGATTTTTTTTCTTCATATTTTTTACTGCTTTATAAAAAAAAGTTATTTTTCTTTGTAGTTTAATTTCTTAACTATTCCAAAGGTCCAACTGACGTTTTTTCGTAATCACAATAAGTAAATTATTATCATGGACCAACAAACGCGCACCTATCTGGTCTAGGTAATCTGTGCCATGAGTACAGCACGTCACGATGAGGAAGGGCAGCGCCCTGCTTGTGACGTATAATCCATCGCATGTGTTCATCTCCCCACATAACATCAATGTTCTATGAATATACCAAGAACGTTCTGTTTAAGTTCTTTTTAGTATATCCTTTTAGAATGTTCTTAGAACATACCTAGAATATACTTTGAAAGTATATTCTAGAAAGTATATACTGAGTACGTGCCTTAAAAGTATATTCCCAAAAAGTATATACTGAGCACAGGACATTCTTAGAAGATACTAAAAATACCCAACATATACCTCATATTCTGAGAATGTTCTAAATGCTTGCAGGTAAAAATTAACACCAAATACATGTAAAAACAAGTTTATATATTGATCTCGTTTTTGTAAGATAAAAATTAATTGCATCGTATGTTCTATATGAAAATAAACAAATTTTACTATATTTATAGTTTTTAGGACCTATAAGTGACGTTAGAATACAGGATATCCCAAATATTAATTGCCAGTGTGAATTTATTAATATAGGTATAGTTAATACTAATGGTGGATTGAAACTAAAATACAGTGTTACATACACACTTTCTATGAAAAAAATCCTGTAAGGCCAGATATTGACCTGGAAGAACTAGAAAAGTTAGCTAAAGGAGGACGAAAACTACAAAATGGTGGTAAGTAATTAACAAAAATATATTTAAACTTTCAGTAAACATCATAATCATTTATGTAACTCTTGTTTTTGTTAGTGGAATGCCATGTACAATTTTTAATGTTTTATGTTCGACAAAAATATTTATAAAATATTCCATTAGCTATGTACCCTTAATTTGTAAATGTACCAAGTTTGTTAATTTTTTTTATTTTTTAGGTTCAATGAAGATCCATTGGAATCAAGCAAATGAAACTCAAGCCATTGATACAATAAAATATTGATTGGTTAAGGCCAAAGATAGTATTTGTAATAAAAATAAGTATGAATTCTTTGAAATAAAGACTCATTATATACACTTATTCTTTAATGTTCAATATTAATTAAACATCCTGTATTAAGATGTCTAGTATATGCCTAGCATATGCTATATTTAAATACTTAGCATATACTTAGAACGTACTATCAAATTAAAGTAGATACCTGTTGCATACTGTACACATACTTGAAGTACATTCTCAGTATCTGCATGGCACATATATAAACAACGTCACGTAGCATATTCTGAGAATGTACCAAATGCAAATACAGTATATTCTCAGCATATGCGTATTCTTAAAAAGTATATACTAAGAATATGCTAAGAATGTATAATTGTTATCTGGGATCTTGCTAAGCGATATTGCCGTTGTCCGTGTTTTTCGCATCATAATGAGAGATAAATCAACAGAGGCACACATTTACTGTGCCCACTTAATTTCTGAATTCTCGGAATGTCGCTCAACGCCCGGTCGTCCAGTGTCGTGCCAATGCGGTTTGCGCTGAATATTAGATAAAATATTAATAGGCATTGAAGAAAATATAAAATATGTAAGTTATTTTTTTTTTGTTTATTATACTAGGGCACGTGCCCAAGTGCCCTTACGGGCAAACCGCCACTGCTTATGGGATTTTCAATGGTGCGTTTTTTATTGGCGTTTCCCGTAATTTAGCTATAAGTTCTAGAATATATTTTCGATGCACGTTAATTACTGTTCTCATGTCGCTCATTAAATATTTGTGCTGTTCTATTAGCGCACTGATTATTTCCGAAAATATTTCGATAATTTCAACCCTTTCTGCCGTAGAATATACCATGGTTATAATTTATGTACAAAGCGTTAAAAGGTATTTTAACAACAAAGTTTGGTCGAATAAATCGCAAACTATGTACTAAATTACTATTTAAAATAAGTACGAGACATTCCCTTTTTATCTTTCTTCAAGAAACCTTTTAGCCACAAAAAAACGCCCCAATCGCTATTTTCAACACCAAAATGATACACAAACCATGGCGTAGTGAACTTAATAAGTAAATGCTTTTACTCAAATTTCTTCTGAAAGTATATAGTACAAACTAATCTGATGTACCTATTAAAGTCTACTTTAAGCTTTAAATCTCCAAAAGTACTGAACTGAAGTATATGAATTTTACATCATTATAAAATTGAAATACCTTTCAAATGATAAATCATTCTACCCCTTTTCTATTTAAGATTTTAGGAATGGTGCCACCCCCGCCTAGGGGGCTGAACGTGTTAATGTGATTTTTTGTCAGTTTTGTGTCCCCCTCGAAAACATAATCGACAGGTCTGAGCGTTTTTCCAAAAAAGAACTGAACTGCCAGGTCTCTGTTTCGTTTTCGATGCGCCACCCTGTATGTTCTTCTCACGTTCTTGGCGTAGCAAGTACTACGTCGTTTTATGCATACCTGCCACCCCATTATTAACAAATGTTTATTAATGACATTTTCGGTGCATTTTAGAAGCAATGATTAGTCACTCTGAAGATATAGTGCAAATATGATTTAATTTTAAATTTATTAAAATGTTAATCTTTATGTTTTTTAAAATTCTCTCTCTATTCTTAACCATAACACGGTGCTTGGGAACCAACTTTAAATGAAAAGTTTATTTACTAGACTTTTTTTTCGGTCAAAGTATTTCTGAAGGGCTATAGATTGGCGCAATATATTTTTAAAAATCGGTTCCAGCAGCCGTTTTTGAGAAAACTCGATTTTTAATGAAAAAGTGACTTTTACTTTTTTGCTTGTAACTTGCGCATTTCACATTTTCTCGGCTTGCCAAAAGTAAATTTCAATGGAAAAATGTCCGCTCTACAAAAAAGCATCAATGAATTTTTTCTCTAAAATCAGCCGATTTTGAGTTAAATGAGATCTCACACCACAGAGACATGATCGCGAAAATAGTCAAAACGGATTCAGGGGACCTCAAAACGTAAAAATCCATCGAAAACTCGAGGTCGAAAAAAATCATGATTCCTATACTTTCCTTATATCTGTATACAGATCAAAAACGGCTGCTGGAACCGATTTTAAAAAATATATTACGCCAATCTATAGCCCTTCAGAAATACTTTGACCGAAAAAAAGTCTAGTAAATAAACTTTTCATTTAAAGTTGGTTCCCAAAGCACCGTGATAAATAATGTTTATAAATATTATTATAACTAAAATAAAACAACCAATTTATAAATAAAAATATTTATTAAAATTAATTTACAATAAATAGGGTACACTACATATATTTTAATATTTTTATTTATTATCTTCAATATTTTCATGCGTAATTGGAATTGTCTTCTCCTCCACCGGTTTAACAATCTTCGGAGTAGTTATTGTAAGGACTCCATCAGCGGATAAAGTCGAGTAAGAATTCTTGATATCATGCCCTGTTGGTAAAACGAATCTTCTGACCAACTGCTTCAACTCAAAACCTTTGTCATTATCGTGTTTTATTTCGTGTTTAGCCTCGATATGAATAACATTTCCATCAACCGTCTTGACTACTATATTTTCAGGTTTGAAATCTTGAACATTAAGTTTCACTTGGAACTTATCTTTGTCTTCTATAACAGCCTCTTCTTGGTGTACTTCATCTGGATATTCAAGTCTAACTCTTGGCATATTAAAATAACTTAATGAAGGACGAAAAAGTTCTTCGGCTTGCTTCATTTGATATTCCATCATTCTTAGCGGTCTCAAAAACTCTCGGAAAATGATTGGTATGTGCGACATTTTTACTTGGTTGTAACTATTTTGAAAATTGTGCAACACTCAAAATTATTGCGAGAATGCAACTTCAAACTTCGACGCAGATTCAAATATTAAATAATTGCCGCCTGCGTTCTGTATTTATACTTCCCAGATGTTTCCCAGGATACTGCACATGTGCAATCCAGAAATTACTAGAAAAGTTAGTTATGGTTATGAGACCGACTACGTTACGATTACGAGAATAGATTTTTTTATAGTATGATAAAAAAATGTTTAACATATGCCGCGTTTGAGAATCCACATCGGATGCATCTGAGATGTAGTAAATCTTTGATCACGTGATTCAGTATACGTAAATGTAATGGGACAGATGTGTCCGAGGTGGATAAAAAACGCTCGAGATGTAAAAAATGCATCCGATGTGGATTCTCAAACGCGGCAATACATATTTCAAAATAACCAGGGGTGCGTTCAGAAATGTAGGGTAAATGCGTCCGGACGTTGTCTAAATTATAAAAGCGTTCCTAAATATGGAACGTTTTATCTAGACGAATTACCCCAGCCGTTCCTATTTAAAAGAAAAACGCGTCGGGATGAAGAAATTTTACCCACCGTGTTGAGTAGGTAATTTTTACTCGACCTGCGCAGTATGTCATGACCCTAATTAACCCTTCGAGCATATGCTCGAAGAATTAACCTAATATCATAACCCTAATTTACCTAAGGGCCGATTCCACGGTTGTGTTAAAAGAGATGAAAATGACGTTGTTAATGTAAAAATGTCATTTTAAACTCCGTTTAACACAACGGTGGAATCGGTCCTTAGAGAACCACCTAGTATTTAATTTCCTATTTTTTCTTTTTGAGTAAAAATTATTTAAATATGAGTATGAGTGAGAGAATTAATTCCATCAATTATCGTCTAGTTGTCGGAAACGATGGTAATTTCATTATAGACAATGATAACATTTTATGACACAGGATTAAAGGTAACAAATTGAATTTTTATATAAAAAAGTCTATGTGGACGTTAATGATGTAACATATTTACTAATTTTTGACAATTCCTACAATCTCATATAACAGAAAAAACATAACCAAAAACTTGATTTGACAATACTTTGCACTTACCGTTCGTATTTATCTGGCAAAAATAAACGTGCCGACGAATTTTGTCCGGATGATTGAAAATTTGACGCTCTCCATTTCTGAACGCACCCCAGTATTTACATCTAATTTAAAAAAGCAAGAAAGACAAAAAGAAATAAACATTTTAGTATGAGCGTTGTGCGTTGTCCATCAATAATGCTGTAAATCTCAATAGATAAGTGTACATAATGTCGTCTTACAATAGTTAAATTTAAAAAAATATTTTACGTAAAAACATATTTGCTTTTTTTCTCCGTTAGTTCTTATGCCTAAACATAAATAAAATACCATCACGTGCTACATTTATCTCCGCCATTGCAATTGCAATTAATAGTTTTGTTCGCGGAGTTTGTCGGCGACATGTCCACGACAGATGAGCAGGCACATTTCGATTTTAAGCGTTCGTAGAGCCAAAAATCGAACGCTTAAAACAGCTAAAAAATCGAAGTGCGCATACTCATCTGTCTTGGACAAAGCTTGGACATGTCGCCGACAGGCTCTGCGAAAGACAAAGATATTCTAATAAGTCGGACCTCCTAGTCGGGTAATTTCTCTGGAAAGGCCTTAGAAATATTTAAAATCTAACGGGTATATATGTATTTTTATTTAAATATTTTGTGAAAAAAATATTGCATTTACTAAATTTAAAAGTTTGACTATCGTAACAGTAGCCATAATCTTCTCTAGATAATTCTGGAAGCAAAGTTCCAAAATAAACTAGATTTTTCGTGAAAATTAGGTATCAGCTTATCTAGAACCAAATAGCAAGTTATGTTTTTCTAAAGATTCTACTTTTTTAAATACGGTTTTTAAGATTTTCAGAAATAACTTCCTGTTTATTTTATAAAGGAACATGCCTGTCGTTCATCTGCATCTTGTCAGTTGCCATTTGTCACTTTGGTCAATTGTCATTTTCAGTTAAGGGAGGTTGTTGAATTTTCTATAAACATTTTATAACAATAAACGTTAGATTTAATTTATTTAAAATATTGTATAGAAAAAATAAAAAACGATGTTGTACCTAGAAGATTATTTAGAAAGTAAGTAATATTTTTTTGTTAATATTTGGCCCTTTATTATAACCTAAAATTTTTTAGTGATTGAACATTTACCCCAGGAATTAAGGGATAGATTCACAGATATGAGGGAGATGGATTTAACTATACATAGTAAGTATACAAATGTAATGTATTTAAATGTACACTGCATAAATACCTATTTTAGATAATATGGATGAACTTGAAAAAAGAGTAAAGAGTTTCTTTAATGATTGTAAAAGGTTCCCTCCTGAGAGTTTGCCACCTACTGTTGATGGGGAATTTGAATCTATTAGAAAAGAATATTACAAAGCTTTAGAAGAGGCAGATGAAAAGGTACCAGTTTAAATCGATTGCCTATTCCTAGCTATGAGACTAAGTTAAAAATTTACTACTTATAACTCATATATCATTCAAGATAATAGAAAAACTAAATATTTCCACTTTTAGGTACACTTAGCCAGCCAGATGTATGATTTAGTTGATAAGTATTTAAGGAGGTTAGATTCAGAATTGCATAAATTTAAATGTGAATTGGAAGCAGATAATAAAGGAATAACAGAAGTTCTTGAAAAGAGATCTTTAGAATTAGATACACCAAATACTACTCCCAATATCTCTTCTCTTCAACAAAAGGAAAATCGTTATGAGAGGTAAGGAAAGTCTATTTTTTTAAAGATATTGTGATATTGTCTAATCATTGCACTCAATATTTATTTAATGATAACATATTATATTCAACTTATCATTGGTTAAATGTTATTAATATTCAAAATAATCATTTTCATAAATAATTTCAATTAAATAAAAAGATATTGGAATGTTTTAATATTTTCACAGTATACCCAGACAAACAAAGCACAAACATCTATTTTTAGCCAAGACCCAACACTTTTCTAAAACACCCTTATATAATTGCTGGAATTCTGACAAGTTAAGAGACCTCTTTCTAAATTTTGCTGGCTTTTGACTATTCTAGGTAGAATTTTATGGACTTGCCTATAATAATACGATTTTCATATATTCTGACTTGCCAGTGTATCTTTTTCTCTTTGAAATTCCATATAATTTTCGTATATTCTGGGAAAAACTATGGATCTTTTTGGATAGGCATTTATTTTAGAAATAAGTTTAGACATTTCTGAGTTTATTTGGACAACTTAGTTGTTTCAGTGTGTCTTCTGTTCTACTTTTATTAAACAGGGTCTAACTCGGGGTCTAACTGGTAGCTGGCTGCTTATTTTAGAGATGGCCCCACTCCATGTCATTGACCAATGAAAACAGGCCCGGAGCTGGGATTCACCAAACCGACATTCTTCGTATTCAAATGCACTTTGCTTTGGAACTTTTGGCAATCTGTCTGAACGAATCTGCATTGCTACATTTATTCTATTGACAGTGCCCCATCTCACAAACCTAGAGCCGAACCTGATCGCAAGACTAATTTGATATCCTCAAAAGCTAAATTTACAAAGACTTATAAAAAGCATATCTTTTGTACCCGGCCACCATATAATTTCAAGTTTGGGTATTGGCAACACTGTTTCATTGTTTTATTTATTAATCAACATAAGTACAGGAAATTCACATTACAATAAAATATATACAAAAATCATTTAAAAGATAACATACATAAATGGTAACTTCAAATCGTTTTAAAAACAAACACCAACACAAATCAGTCAAATGAAAAGTATTAAGTTATAGCAGAAACAACTACTAGATGCTTAACTCAATGAGAAAAAATATGCCGGAAGACATTCTTTCTCTCTCTCTAAACAAGGAAAGGGGAAATCAGGTGGTACTGTATGTTATTTAGGGAGAACCACATGCAATTTAAATTATCATTTCTACATTATATAGTGGGATACCATTTATTTTTTGAGTTATCTTTAAAAAATTGTGAAAAATGCTTATATAATTCAATTTTTATTTTTTAATGAACACATTTTTATTATAAAATGTCACGCTGTCCGTAATATTATGTCTAGTGAGTAGTTCATTTAAATAATTTGATAATTGATAGCAAAATCATTTTTACTCATTTTCTAGGGATATGTAGGCATTTACATATTTCAAATATTTGACCTTTTGGACAAAATAGGTACATTTCAATAAAATTTCAGGGATATTACCTAGTTCAAAATAGCGAATATTTGAAATATTTAAGTCTCATATCACCTAGAAATACCCTTGCAAATAATCTATCAATTTGTCCCTGTTGCTAATTTAAAATATTCAAAGGTGCAGATGTTAAAATCTGTGATGACATTTTTATAACAAAAATATGAGTCATTAGAAATAAAAATTGACGTGTGCGAGTATTTTTAATCAGTTTCTCAAATAATGCAAAAAATAGTTTTATTCCTTAAGTGAAATTCTCTTGTGTTGCAGCAAAGCAGATTTAAGCAATATTTAGTTTTATGTGTATCATAAACCAGAACAAATAAAATAGATTTGATTTTCGTGACAGTATATATTTTTTATTACTAAAAATCAATCAATACAATGACAATCATTTATATCTAGTAAACGAATAAATAAAACACAAAGTAGTCATTAGATTAGATAGCTCTAACACCCTTAAGCTAATGACTGATTACAAAAAAAAAGAAACTACAACCTTTCCAAACCAAGTTGTATCACACAAAATAAATGCTTTGGCTTGAAAAGTGACTTCGTCATAATGTCGGCTGGCATTTCCTCTGTTGACAAATATTTGATCTCAACCTTCTTTTTCTCCACGAGTTCTCTGATGTAGTGATACTTAATAGAAATATGCTTTGTACGCTTGTGAAATATTGGATTATAAGCTAACTTACTAGCTCCTTGGTTATCATTGAAAATGTCAATTGTGCCACATTCCATATTCAGTTCGTTTAGCAATCCCTGTAAATAAACTATTTCTTTTGCCCCCTCACACAAAGCCATATACTCTGCCTCAGTAGAACTAAGCGCCACACTTCTTTGCTTTCTAGACTTCCAACTGATTGCAGATCTGGCAAACATAATCACAAAACCTGTATATGATCTTCTATCTTCAATACAGTTGCCCCAGTCAGCATCAATGAACCGTTGTAAGGGTTTTCCTGTTTTACGAAAACAAAGTGAATAGTCCATGGTACCTTTTAAATACCTAAGTACTCTTTCTGCGGAAATCCAGTGCTCTTTTCCATAAAAAATATTAAATTGACTTAGGAAACTCGTTAAAAAAGTGATATCAGGACGAGTATACATAGAAAGATACATTAAAGATCCAATTAATTCTTGATATTGAAATTCTTCTTCGCAATTGGTACACTTCTCTAATTTTATATTTGCTTCTAGAGGAGTATTTATTGTCTTTGAATCATCCATATTAAATTTACGTAAAATATTTTCAATATACTTCTTTTGATCGAGATACAATTTACCATTTTTTCTATCTCTTGTAACTTTCATTCCTAAGCAATCCTTTACTTCTCCTAAATCCTGTAATTTAAATTTACTTCCTATTTCTAATTTTAATTTCTCTATTTCACGCATGTTATTTGAAAAAATAAAAAAATCGTCAACGTGAAGAGCAATAATGACAAATTTTTTGTTGTCAATTTTGAAATATGTACAATAATCATATTGGCATCTTGTGTACCTATGGAGGGTAGAGGAAAGGAGAACAATCTCTGTATACAAAAAGTGTCCCTCAAAATGTATACAATTAAGATGGCGCTTCTGTGCCCAGGGGACGTCGACAGTCGATAATTCAGATCACACAATGACACCAATGATGTATATAGTAATAAATATTGCTCAACCATAAAAAACTAAAAACTACACCGTGAAAAGTGACTGATCGTAGAAGAGTAAGTGTTCTGTGATCGTAGATAAATTTTGACAATACACAACAATAGTCAAATTTTATTGAAAAATAATAATATAAACAATAAATAATTCTTATATTAAAATGACACGGAGGTCTCAATTTACTGCTTCCTGTCTGATTTCATTATGAATGAGCAATCTATATGACTATATAGCATTGGATTTTGTCCCCTGCCTACACGAGCGCCATCTTAATTGTATACATTTTGGTGGCCACTTTTTAATATAAAAATCCATATAAGATTGTCCTCCTTTTCTCTACCCTCCATATGTGTACCCTATCGCTACAAAAGGGGCGTTTGATTTGAAACTCGATCGAGCGAGCGTCGAGGAGACCGAGAAGTGATGACGTCACAATAGAGCATTGAATCAAATCAAATAAAACAGAGTTAAAAACATAACCTCGCTTTTTTGTGATTCTTGTTTCTGGTTTGTATGTTAAATTAGTACGAGTGTCTCGCGACAGTAAGATGTGGGTTGCACGGATCATGCGCATTAAGCTAAATGTACTGACAACTTGCGATGATGTCAAATTTAGCAATTCTACTGTGATTCTACATTTATTGTATTTATTATTTTACTCCAATTTATTATTTTACTCCATGACTCAAATATATCTTGTTAATGATCCCATGTGGTAGGTATCCTAGACATAAGTTTTAACATCATTTAATATTTCAATTGTTAATTTTAACACCTTTTGGGATGGCTTTTGAAGCCGAAAGCGCTGTCTAATTTTTAATAATATAATTTAAATTTTTACACACTGAAGTATTCGTTCCACTTTCATCTTAATAATTTACTGTTTCAAAAGTATTTTCGATTTATAAATAATATACCTATACTGGACTACCATTTTTTGTGTACTTACAAATAATAATTTACCATAGTTTTCTGACCTACCATTTTTTTTGTGTACAAATAAAATAATCATTTTCTATTTTATTATAAAAGTATTAGTGAAATGCCTAGAAATACATAATATATGACAAATGTTTGTTTAATTTATTCAAAATACAAATAATGTAGTTTTACCTCGAAGGTAAACTCTGCACTATGTCATTTTAGTCAACTTTTTAGTAGAGCAGATTAAATGTTTGGACACCCAATTATTGTCACAATATTTATGTATTGTTTACTAATAAAACTATTTTTTTTTAATTTGCATATATTGTTCGATGGCTCAATCAAATACTGGCACAACTAAAATACTGTTGTTTTGAGTAATTTCATTTTAAAATTTTGTAATTCTCTATTATGATTATTTTGTTTTTGACAAAATCTTAATATTTTATTTAAAAGCTACGATATTTTGCTGTTAAAATTAACGATTACCATTATAAAAGCGCCTTAACTGGAATTGTTTCGTAGTTTGTAATACATTTGGGTGTTTTTGCAGAAAATAACCCGAATTGAGGCAGTTTTAGATAATTTGTAGCTAGATTTTAAATGATTTTCGGGCAACTCTAAGGATGTTTCGGTTTGTGGCGGGATTTAAAATAAAAACTTAATAATATTTTGCATCCATTGAACCAAAAATGTAATTTGAGTTGTGGCGGTTTTTGATTGAGCCATCGTGTTGGTTTTTATTGTATTTCTACGTTTTGACATACGGTCATATACCTCCAACAATACTATTTTCTCATAGAAAATTTATCAAGATAGTTAAAAACACTATGTCCACATGGCGCTGCTAATCTCATAAATTTATTAAACATAATATATTTTTTTGGCTAACTTTTAATGTGATCTCACTAATACAAGGTCTCGATGAGCCGAGTTTAAAAATTCT